AACAAGGCGGAATGCCGCCAAACAAACAAACCACAACAAGGCGGAATACCGCCAAACGAACAAACAAACCAACAACAAGGCGGAATGCCGCCAATGGCAAGCAATGTTTGCACATACATGCAATGTTTGCGCATACATGCAACCGCTTTTTCAACCAGCGCCATGACTGCAGGTGATCCACACCTGCATCCCCGAGCACCGCCGTACCAGATAGAAAGATTTCTACCACCCACGCTTTTTCCAGCAGGTGTATGTGCAAAAGGGTGCGTTTCTGCACCTGCCACATCCATTCTTGAACTTCTGCAAAACGTTTTTGGGAATTCCCTTCAAGAAGTCTTGCTTGTCCTTCCCTGTCACCACCTTGCGTTTCACGACCTTCTGGGCAGAGGGTCGTTTCAGCACAGGCTTTGTCTTTGACTTCACAGCCTTGGACTTGGCTTTCGCTTTGGATTCTCCCGTTGAGGGGCCACCTATTTCTGTCTTTGCATCCTTTGCCTCACGAAACCGGCCAATGCTCTCCATCAAGCTCAAGCTGTTTCGGCGCAGCTGATTGGCCGGCTTCGTGCACTCAGGCTCGTCTTTCTTCAAGTGGTCAGTGGGCAAAGGTGGCTGGGCATTCAAGCCAGGCTCCATTTTCCCTGGCTCTCCATCCATTTCCGTGGCGTCAGGCGATTGCGCCGCCGCTTCTGTCTTGGCTTTGTTCTCGAAGGCCTCGTTGGCCGGAGTGTTTGCCAAAGCTTCTGTCTTGGCTTTGTTCTCGAAGGCCTCGTTGGCCGGAGTGTTCGCCAAAGCAAGGAGAGCAGGGGCAGGAGAAGGCAACGATTCAGTGCTGGATGCCCTGTCCAAGAGACCTGGAAGCCCTTTTTTGGGCTGCTCCAATAAAGTCAAAGATGATCCTGCATGGAGCTTGGAACCACAGACATTGCCATTCATGGCAGCCACAAACATCATCATGCGCTGCCATTGCCCTTCAATAGAGTTCCCATCCAGCAGGGTCATCGTGTTCGTCGTGTGCTGGCCTTTTGAACGATTGCCGCGCATGCAAACCGTTTTTGCAATGCGGAAAATGTCCATCAACTCTATCTTTGGAGGCACCAGCTCTGCCCCGATCTTCGCTTTCAGACCAGGGGGACATGAAGCAATCTCTGAAGGGAGCTCGGTCACATACTCGTCACCGTTGAGAGTGTCCTCGCCGAACTTCAACTTTTGAAGCCTGCTTTGAACACAGTTCTTCACGGTCAGGTACAAGCTTCTCAACTGATCAGCACTTTCTCCTAGCTTTTGACGCATGTCGGGTTCTTCCCTGTGCACCAACAAGCCACAAAGCGTCGCCTGCGTTGGTTCAGACGGGTGCCGTAGGCCAAGGGCGTGGAGCTCAGAGATGATGCAATCCACGCACTGCAGGCTGCGAACCGATCGGTCCATGACCTTCTGCCAAGCATTTGCCGAGAGATACAAAGGAAAAAGTGTCCAGTCTTGCATATCACTTCGCGCCTTCCTGCTCTTCTTTTTGTCATCAGCCTTCACCGCAAACGATTCCATGGGAATCAAAGGGCTGATGCTAGAGCCGCGATGTTGCTGGAACGTGCGGCTGGGCCGCGTGCGGGGACCGCAAGGTTCCTGCGGCTTGCCGCATACGCAACATCCCTGCTCAACAAACAGGAAAAACAAACAACGTCGTGGAAACAGCTACGCAAACTCACGTCAACAAGTGCATGAACAGATCTTTCAATACAAAAATAGAGAAAACAGGTTCCTGCGGCTTGCCGTATACACAACTTCCCTGCTCAACAACACAAAAAAACAAGGAACACGGAAACCTCTATGCAAACCCACGTCAACGACTACATGAGCTTACAGCATCAAAAAAATCAATGTTTTCATTAAAAATATAGGAAAAACAGGTCCTGGGCATCATTTTTCTGACATGTGAAAAAAAGATGATTTTCAGACACAAAAAACTAACTTCCGTAACTTTTTTTAACTTTCCGTGGTCCTTACTTACAACTAAGTTATAACTAACCATCTAAGATGTAACTTACATAGAACTACCGGTGAGACTTAATTTAGTTACACCAAGTTACAACAAGTTAAAACCATAGTTACACCAAGTTAAAACCATACATAGGATACTTACAAGTAGTCTAACTAGGGGCGCCCCATGGTGTTCCGAGGATCCACACCTCCGTCCTCTCAGGCGGAGGACGACGACTCGTCCGCCGACACATCGGCAATTCGGAGTATGCTCAAACGCCGTGTCCACCACCAAATGGAAAGACCGAAGAGCAGTTTAGGCAGTGTCAAGATTGAAGAGTTCTCAGGACAGCGCCATAGATTTACAAAATGGAAGAAAGCTGTTGAGGCTCAGCAAGAGCTGTATCGTTTGGAAGAGCAGGAGCTTGCGATGCTGGTTTACCTCTCGACCAAACGAGAGGCACGGGACTGCCTGGATCAGGCCTTCGGCGAGTCGGAGGAGGAGATGTTTGAAAGGGCAGAGCGTGAGTATGGTGCCTACAGACGACTGCCCGGCCAACCTGTGTCGGCCTACATCGGCCAGATGAAGCGCCTCAAGTCCCAGTATCAGCGGGTTGACCCAGAGACACAAATCAGCAACAGAGCATGGGGTCAGAGGCTGTTGAATCGCTGTTCACTGAGCCGGAGGGAGCGATTGGTTTTTCTCAGCTGGAGGCACCTATGACCCTGCTGCGATCGAGCGTGCTTTGAGGCACCGCTGTGCCAACACTCATGAGGATGAACGCCGAGTCCCAGCTCCTCAAAAGATGTCAAAGCCATTTCGTCCTCGCTCCGGATCCGACCACAAACGTTCCACCTTCACCCACAAGAAGCCTTTCAAGCGTTCCTACATGGCCGACTGTCCTGAGGACCAGCAAGAAGAATTTGAGGACGCAGAGGACTTGGAGCAGGAGGATCTCAATGAAGTCTACCTTGGCAAGAAGACGAAGAGCGACTCGGAGCGATTGAGGAGGAGTTCGAGGAAGGCGAACTGGAGGAGTTTGAATAGCATGAGGAAGAGCTCATGGAAGCTTATGCTGCCGGCTGGCGTGCCAAAGACAAGATGAATGAGAAGAAAAAGTCAAGAGGCTGGTCTCAGCAGGGGACCAAAGGCTCTGGCACGATGCCTCCGTCTGTGGCCCAGAAGAAGCAGGCATCTCACTGTGCTTCATGCGGTTAGCGTGGCCAGTGGAATGGCGATCCACAGTGTCCAAATGTTCAGAGCGGAAAGGACAAGCCTCATCGAAGACCAGAAACGGGGTCACCTATAGTTTCCGGTCCTGGCAATCCGGTGCATTTTACTTTTGCAGTTACCACAAAGAAAAAGACCAAGGTGGTAGAGGAGAAGACCAGGGAGAAACCTCACAGTACGACATGTCCCAGGTGCCGTTGGCCGACCTTCGCGGCCGCCCACTTCTGTGCACAATGTGGTCAAAGTCTGCATCCGGATGAGCGCACGCCAGAAGGGAAACGAGGTTGGACGGTAGTTAGTCACGATGAGGACGATGAGGAGGTGATTCCCAGTTCAGAGAGCAGCAAGCCCGAGGAGAAGCCGAAGATGTACCACCTACGAAAGGGGCTTCTGAGAGAGGCTGCAGGCTATGGAGGAGGCGAGAAGGAAAGAGAAAGGATCAAGGCTGGGCCAGAGGAAGTGTTGGCGGCACTCCCCAAGATGACCCGGGAAGAAAAGAGGATGATTCAGAAAGCCTTGATGAAGGAAGAAAGAGATGCGGCCTATGATCGACTCCAACGAAGTCATTTGTTGCCACAGTATGAGTCCAGCGAAGATGAGCGTGATCCATACGCAGCTGCTTCGGGTGGTTACCAAGCACCGATCACCCCAAAGGCAACCCCAAAGAAGACGCTGGAACACGGCAAACTATATGGAGGAGGTAAGATCTCAGTCGTTGCCAAAGAGCGTGAAGGACCGAAAGCTTGCTTTGTTCCGTCAGGAGCTCTATGACAAGCAGATGACACACTCAGGACTCCGGCCTTCAGCATGCTCTCCAACACCGACAGGTCCGATGCCGACATCCATTCGATAGACTCCGTTGGTCGTCAAACGGAGATGGTCATAATGCCTCCTGCAGAGCATGTGGTCTTAAGCATGTTATATATTTCTCTGAGCGTCACGGTGTTTGGATGACCAAGCGTGTCAAGGAGGAAGAGAAGTCAACTCAGAAGGAGAACCATGAAATCTTCCTCACCCTGGTCCCCGGCACGGCAATCATGGACTCGGGCTGCAGGACAGCCGTTGCAGGAGAGAACTGGCATCAGGAGTTCCAGAGACTGCTCACTCAGAAAGGCTTAAGTTGGTACGAGGAAGAAGAAGAAGAACGCTTCCAGTTCGGAGCTGGGGGTCCAGAAGATAAACACAAGGCATTCATTTATTGAGTCGGTTTGCATGGAGCCCATGACCTGATCAGGATGTCTTGTGTGGCAGGTGGAGCAGCAAATTGCCCTGGCCTCATTGGCCCCTCTGAGATGGCCCGGTGGGGAGTTGTGATGAATTTCGCCACCAAGGAGCTCCAGATCAAAGGCAGTTGGAAGCCCATGATCCTCACCGAGACACGACATCCGGCCATCTGTCTCATTGACTTCGGTGCAACAAGTTCTTTTTGGGATGATCCAAAGATACGAGACACTCTGTCCTTACTGCAACGTTCACCACACTTGTGGGCCTTCACTGCAGGCGATCCCGATGGAAGCACCGATGGGGAGGAGACAGAGAAGTCAGGAGAAAGCCAAAGTGAGGATGAAGACGAGGAGGCTTTGGATGAGCAGAAAGATAAGTTGAGGCTGGTGCAGGCGCTAGAGAGACTGGAGACCGATCTGACACAGATGCCACTTCACCAGAAGGACGACTTCGAGAGGCAGTCATCGACGGAAGATTGGGAGCTGGTGCAAGATTCCGATGGACATGACTCGATCACCTCCCATGAGTTTGGAGTCCAGCAAGTAGAAGAATCAGAGTCAGGAGGAGGTTCTTCAGAGGAAGAGCATGAGGTTTTGCTGGAGAAGGGACCTATGAAGTTTTGGAGCAAGCACCAAAAGAGCAACTGTCGTCACCATGTACGAGAGTTGAAAGAGATTCAGGCCCAGAAGAAGACTCAGATGAAGCTTCCCAGAACGCTAACTTCGCCCCTTTTGAGGAGGTCAAGAAAAGGACCCTGGAGAGTCATCGAGCTGTTCACATGGACCTGCATGATATCTCTCACAGCAATGCACTCGGGCAGGTGGGAGTGTGGGAGCCCATCAGTCTTCCAAATTGGGACATGCTCCAAGACGATCAGCAACAGCAGGCTCTCGATTACTTGGCAAGGACGGATCCAGATCTCCTTGTCGTTGCCTGGCCTTGCGGCCCATGGTCACCGCTTCAAGATTTCGGCTACAAGACAAAGGCACAAAGAGTGAAGTTGGCAGAGAAGCGGCAAGAACAAAGGAGGCTCTTGTACTTCGTGAAAAGGAAGGAGGGGCGGCGCTGTCTTAGGTGAGAATCCTGCCAGATCCAAGCCCTCGGAAGAGAGTGCAATCGTTGAAGCCTTCGAAGGACTTCCTGACGCCACCACTGACATGTGTATGTATGGGCTCAAGAAACCAAAAGAAGAAGGCGAGCAGCTCTATTTGAAGAAAAGGACCAGGCCAAGAGGAACTGCAGAGATCATGAAGAAGTGCAACCTCTTGTGTGACAAATCACACCAACATACACCAGTCTTGGGCCGGTGTCAAGATCCAAGGTCATTGGAAACCGCTCTCCGAGTTTGCTGGAGGTTACACGAAGAAGTTTGCACTTCATGTCCTAGCTGGAGCTGAGGAGTACCTGAGCAAAGGAAGACACCAAGAGGCCTTTGTGGAAAGAGAGACAGTGCCGGAAGAAAGATTCATGCCGTTGGAAGACGAAGAACCAGAAGGAGAGGAGCAAGAAGATGGAGGAGGTGAAGTAGATGAAGTCAAGGTGAGAAAGAATGAACAGCTGCAGCTGGTCCATCGGCGCTTGGGACACCCGACGAATGAAGTTTTGGCCCGGATGTTGAGGTTGGCGGGCGCTGAAAAGTGGCTTGTGGACCAAGCATATGAACTCCAGTGCGATGTATGTGGCTCATCTCCAATGCCACGAAGACCAATGCCTCAGAGGAGTGATCTACGACCAATCACATTCAATGAGACTGTGGCCATCGAATTGAAATTCATTAGAGACTGCAGTGATGGCAAGTATGTTGCACTCAGCATGATTGACCTCGCCACCAACTTTCATCAAGGAGTCCTCCTGAGGAATCAGGAACCAGCTCACGTGGCTCGCAAATTTTTGAACAGATGGATCTCTATGTTCGGAATTCCTCAGTGGCTCACTCTTGACCAAGGAGGCGAATGGGAGGCCGAGTTTATCCTCATGCTGGAACAACATGCCATCGGAACCAAATACACAGGTTCCCATGCGGCCTGGCAGCTTGGCCACGCTGAAAGACACGGCGCCCTGTTGGGCGTGGCCTGGGGTGCTTTGGTCCATGAGTATCAGGTCCAAGACAGGG